TTTTAAGTGTACATATAATTAGTGGGGCATCTTATAATGATATGCTGGGTTGGTAAAATATAGTATAAGCTTGTAAATAAATTTTAGACTTTAAAATATCCAAGTTTGAATTTTTAGAAAACCCAGTCTTTGAAAGTTGAAATCTTTGGATTTCAGAACTATGTTTCTGGAAGTTCAGAATAGATTGAGACAAAATTTCCTAAACATTTTATGAAGTAGAAGTTTAGTAAAATTTAAAACTACAAAGTAGTTTCTTTTAAAAAGAAGAAAATTTAAAGAATAAAAATTTCTGTTTCCATTAGATTTTATAGATCCAGCAATTAAAACCTTAAGTCTTTTATGTCTTATAATCATAGACTAATATTTAAAATGGAGTGAAAGTTGTGACATGAATTATGACTATCATTGTATTCTTTTTTCTATTTATAATAGTATTATTACATAAGAAGTAATGAATTTGCACATTGTATTTTAAAATTAAAACTGCTATACACAATATTAACACACACATCTGTTTTCCCCATTCCACTGTCACCCATCACTTTTATAACATGTTATACAGGGTGCTTTAGAAGTCATGTTGAGGAATTTGATTCCTAAACCGACATAGTGGAGAGTTGATTGGGCCTACTTTTTCTTCTAGTAGGTGCAGTCTCTGTTTTAACATCTAGATCCTTGATCCACTTTGAGTTGAGTTTTGTGTAGGGTGAGAGAGAGGGGTTTAATTTCATTTTGCTACATATGGGTTTCCAGTTTTCCCAGCATCATTTGTTGAAGAGGCTATCTTTTCTTCAATGTATATTTATGGTGCCTTTGTCTAGTATGAGAAGACTATGTGGGTTTAATACCCCCCATTTTAACTTTTTATGATTTTCATGCATTGGTTTTGACTCTTCTCTCCTATTCTTCTGTTCTCTCCCAAACTAACTAATTAATTTCGAGTTTTAATTTTTTATTTTGATTACCTCTCATAATGGTGTGTGCCCTCTCCCTCTCCCCCTCCCCCTCCCTCTCCCTAATATGGAAAATCCATAATATGTCCTAGTCTTGAGCCCACTGTTTTGTGTCATGGTCATTCTCATAATAGCACTTAGCTGTATTAATCCCTTGATAGTTGCCTTCTGGTTTGCTCTTTTGCTGGGGAATGTTTATTTATATCAAGCCTTTAACCATGTCCACACAAGTCAATGCATAATGGGAGAGAGACATTGTAATCTATTCCCAACACTAAAGAGAAGTGTCACCTCATTTAATATGCCCCTCGATGGCATCTAATCATTCCAGGTAGCATTGAGAGCAGGCAAGACAGTTCTGGCATGCAGCCAACAATATCACACATCTTGAGGGAAGTCCCCAGTGTGTCACAGCTGCTACATATAGTCTTTCAACCTGTGTGCTCTAATCTACATTGTAGCCAAGTGGCATTTTCTTGTGCCGTCTTTTCTTCACCAAATGTACGACCTCTATCCATACTTCTCTGGTGATGGGCTCATAAGTGGCATACTATTGTCTTTCCAACTAGCATACCATTCTTTTGTCTCCTTCCGTAACTGTGACCAGAATCAAATCTGCTGTCACAAGCTCCATACAGAATTGTCCAGAGTGACATACATGGATGGTAAACACAGCAGGTTTTGATGTGTCTGGTATCCCAGGGGCCTGTGCCTGTTTCACTATTCATTTGGCTTGATTAAATGGATCATAATATGCCAGTCAACCTAGTCCATATTGCACCCCTCCTACACAAATCACATAGGGGTTGTAATAACTGAGATGGATGAAAGATGAAAGTTCCCCCAATAACTCAGTAGCCCCAAAGATTATTGTATTTGCTTTACTGTGTTGGAAAGTGAAAAGACAGGTTTGCGTGTGTGGTGAGGGTGGGTTTTTTTTTTTTTGGTGGGGATGATACTAGGGATTGAACTTGGGGGTAGGGGGCATTAGACCACTGAGTCACATCCCCAGCTCTCTTTTGTATTTTATTTAGAGATAGGATCTCACTTAGTTGCTTAGTGCCTTGATTTTCCTGGGGTTGGCTTTGAACATGCAATCCTCCTACCTTAGTCTTAGTCTCCAAAGCTGGGATTAACAGGCCTGTGCCACCATGCCCAGCAAGACAGATTTTAAAAGAGGTTTCCTCTTTTCCTTTTTGGAGGAAACTTTTTTTTTTCTTTAATTCCTTTCCAGTTCCTGCAAATTAAATATGTACATTTATAGATATGTATATACACACATATATAAAATGTTATGTATGTCATAAGGAAAGTATATATGTGCAGCAGCTGAATTTAGTAGGTTGAATCTGATAAACACTAAAATACTCTCTTTATACAAGATGGCATTTATTTTAATATTATTTTAATATTTATATGGAAGCAAAAGTTATGTGCAAGCGCTAGACGCAGTGCCCTCATGTCTATAATCCCAGCGGCTCTAGAGGCTGAGACGGGGGAGGATGGGGGATGTGGCTCAGTGGTTGAGTGCCCCTGGGTTCAATCCCTGGTAAAACTTCACCCACCCCTAAAGAAAAACTTATAGGCAGGAGAGAAAGAAAAAAATAAATCACCAGGTCAGGGAAAACACCAATACCTGAAGTCATGAGACAGTCTGGGGGCAGCTTTTCAGGGTCCTGACTGGGAAGTTCCTGGTAGTTTCTTCTTGACAAATAAGACTCCAGAGTCTTATTCTCTATGATGTTCCTTAAGCTCCATTCTAACAAACAGTGTGACTTAGTGATCTCCTCAAGAACACTTCATCCCCCCAAGTACTGGCCCGATCCCCAAAGGTTGGGAGTGTTTGTCTTGAAATAAGTGAATGTCTTTGAGTTTTTGTGAATGAACCAAACCTTCTGAGAAATAAGCATTCTTCAGATGTTTCATCAAGGATGTGCGAAGGTTAGGGCAGGCACATGGACAGAGAAGATCTTTAATGTTTTCCTTAGCCCTCTACTATATACAGTATTGGTTTGCTTAAAGATGTTGAAAATGTGTATTTGTATTTTTATATATATTTATGGATATGTAATTATATATATAATGTATAAATATGTATAGTTTTGAAACATGCTTTTTTATTATTAATATATATCCTCGGCCTTCCCTTTTGGATTTTTACCCAACTTAACTTGTATATAATATTTCCTAGGATGGGTTATTGTAATTTATTTGCCCTTTTTTCTTTTTGGTCTGTTGATAAGAAGCTTGTTCCGAGTTTTCTTTCTTCCAAACTATACTGTAGTGAGTATCTTCATGCATGTATTTCTTCCTAAGATACATGCTAAGTTGTGGAATGCCTGTAAAGTTTCCAAAGATTGTACAAAATTTCATTCTTTACATCATGTCTTCTTCTAAGGTGTGAATGTACTTAGATTTTACTTAGACTCAACTGAACCTATAAACCTTGGTAGGTTTTATAATTATTTTAATGTTAACTTCAGCCTTACGTATAGGATAAATTAGGAGTTTTTTTCATTGTTTTGAAAATAATTGAGGCTTACATGTAAAAAATAGATTTCCTGTATCATGTTAATGAGCTAGCTAATGCTGATATAAGCCAGCTTACTGCTTTCTAAATAATGGTACCATTTCACAGAAGGATGTTGTTTAGAAAGTACTGAGGGATGTACAGAAACTTTCAACAGGTCCATAGTTAAATATTTTTATATGTGTATTTTACAAATTACATTTTTTTTCTATGTACAACCAATACTTATGCTCTTCATCAATGCTGTCTTTCCTAGAAATTGAATTACTGAAGGAGTAGAAACATTGTCAGGACTCTCAAAACATATTGCCAAACTGCCCTTCAAGAAAAAGACCACTACCATAAATGTGATGGTTTATGCCCATTTCTTTGAATGTTGACAATGTTTTCTTGCATATTAAGTTGAGCCTTTTTTCCTTTTAAGTTTATCGACCCATTTGTTTGACTTTTTAAAATAAATCTTTACTTTTACATTTGTTGACTATTCTTTTTTTCAAATAATTATAAAGTTTATAGTGGTTAATAATCTTTATTTTTAAATATTTTTCCCTGTTGTATTTGTGCCTTTGCTTTATGGGTGGATTTATTTGGGAGTGATGGCAAGGAGAGTATTACATTGTTTTGTTTCGATTTTGTGCTTATGCATTGACCTTCCCCGCCTGAATTAAGGAACATGTATTTTCTTCCATTTCTTGTAATTTTAATTTATCTTACTTTTGTGTGTGGTGTGAGGTAGATTTGAATTTTAAAAATAGATTGCTTAGGAGTGTGTGTGTGTGTGTGTGTATTTTACAGGTAAAAGGCTCTTTTCTATTAATTTTCAGTAAGAAATTGAATGGTGGACTTTCCCCCCTTCATTTTTTTTGTACAAATTGACTGAATAAGAAAATTAATTCAGCTAAATAAATTTGGCTTTTCATGCTGACTTCATTTACTTTATTTACATAGCTGTATTTTAGAAATACATGGTTCATTTTAATACTTTGCAAGAAATGGGTAAATCAGTATTCAGGCTTTTGTTTCATCTGGCTTCAGATTGTTTTTAATAATAAAATTAATATTTACTTAAATACTAATATTTAAGCATTTAATATTTATTTAAATACCAAATTTTACTTAGAAGTTTTATAACAAAATAATTTTTATTATTTTCATAACTTTTTAAAAAAATTTATTAGTGGAACTGTAGCAGCCAGTTGCAGAAGAGAAGGGGGTCGAGAGAGAGAGAAGAGGAGAGGAGGAGAGAGGAGAGAGAGAAGGGAGAGGGAGAGAGCAAGCGAGAGAGCAGAGGGTGAGAGAGCAGAAGGGGAGGGGGGAGAGAGGAAGAGAGAGGAGAGAGGAGAGGGGGAAGAGAGGATTTTTTTCTAAAAGAGACTCATTTATCTCAGACTTGATATATTAAACTATAAAATGCACTTTTCATGTTGTTTATATTGAGTGTTGGTTTATCCAAAATTTGAAGTAAACTCACTTTGCTTTTGGCTTTTTCATACTTAATTGTTTTCTTTACTTCACAGAAATACCGGTATCAAGATGAAGATACACCGCCCCAAGAACACATTTCTCCACAAATCACTAATGAAGTGATAGGTCCAGAATTGGTCCATGTCTCAGAGAAGAACCTGTCAGAGATTGAGAATGTCCATGGATTTGTTTCTCATTCTCATATTTCACCAATAAAGGTAGGACAATAACTATGTTATGCTATGAATTATATTGTTTTTACTTAAGCTATACTTACGAGAACTATATTTTTGTGTACATTCCCCTACCTTTGGTTGATTTTAGTTTCATAGTTACAGGGAATTTCATGTACTTATTAATAATAAAGGTATTGTGTCCAGCTACAACTAAAAATATATTTTAAAAATAACTTTCTTAAGCAATAATATCTTTAAGTCTAAAATTTTTCAAGAGGAAGTAATTATTATATTTTGGATGCCACATTAAGACATTTTAAATATCTATTGAATATCAATAGATACAATATGTGACTTTTCTTGATCCTGTCATCTCTCCCCTCAGAAGTAACCATAATCTTGAATTTGGTCTTTACCCTTTCTTATAAAAAAATTCTATCATATCCCCCACCTCCTGCCCAAACCCCTCCCACTGCCCCAGGAGCACCCTCAAAGGGGGCGTGGGGCAGGGACAACACAGGTGAGACTGTTGCACAGTGTTGTAGAGTTGCTGGAGTTGCTACCAGGCTGTGAAGACAGTGGATCAGCCATGTGATTGGCTGTACCTTTGGTTGACCTTGGTCTCTATCGCCCTCTCCCAGCCTTCCTGCTGGAAGGCATTGTGTTCCTGAGCACTGATTCAAAGCCAATGCCAGCACAAATCCTGTACAGGCTTCTTCCCTTGGCTGCACCATTGCCCACCCCAATGTTGAGGGTGGAACTAGCGAGTCCTGTCCATAGCAGAATGTTCCAGCTGTTAACTTCATTTCTGTATGTCTCTTATTCTCTGGCATCCTTGGCAGGGGCTCAGATGTTAAAAGCCACTCCCTCAGCCAGGAGTTGCTCTGGACATTGTCCATCCTCTTTGCTACCCTTGCTGCCACTTGGTCTCTTTGGGTTTGTGGGGAGCATTTGCTCTGGCCAGGCCATGGCTCCACACCTGACTTGGGCCTGATAACTCTCTCTCTCCATTCTTTTGTGGGACTGCAGTAGCCTCTGGATAGGGGGCCATTTTGCTGATCATAGGCTTGGTATTTCCACATCACCCTTTGTCTCCAAAGATTTCTCTCTATCCACATCCCTCTTTCCTTTGGGACATGAGCTATAGTCACTGCTGGTCAGGCTCACATGACATCCGTGCCAGACTCTAGAGGGTTTCTCTTCCCTTTCTGAGCTGTATGCTCACCTGATGACTTCATCCTCTGAATCTCACACCCCATTTCCCTTCCCTGTGAAGAGAGGAGATCTTTCAGTTCCCAAAGCCTAAATTCATTGGTGGAACGTGTCACCATGTCTGTGTCATCTCTGTTACAGAGCAGTGGCCAGCTCAGTCCTTGGCAAAGTCCCGCACACCTGGGCTGACCGTTGCCCTGCGCATCCTATAGGTGGACTTTGGGGCTCCTAGCCTGTGACTTTATTTACTTTCCAAGCACTCCCTTTTCACCTTGGTCCCCCTCAGCAAGCATAAGACCCTTCTCCTTCCCTGATATCTGTTGCCTCAGTAGGGAAGTGAGAAACTGCTGCCAGGAAATCCCAAGAAAAATGAAATTGTCCATAATCCATCACCTGTCACAGTGTTTGCTGTCATTTTATTTAATTCATTGAAAAATTCTATATATGCTATTTTGAATTGTCACATGAACATGGTTTAAAATACAGAGGTACCAGAAGGATACCAATCACTTCCTAGGCAACTTGTCAGGGTGGCTGTGCAGTCATGCTTCACCCAATACACAGGACCCATGCACAGGCTGCATCTTGCAGAAGCCCCTGTATATAGACTGCATGCAGCTGTTGCACTGTCTTTAACAACTGTGCAGAAGGTTCTTTTGTGGACAGGCTGCAGGCTGGCCAGCAGCAAGCAGTACCACCCTCGGTGTCCTTGTGCCTGTGTTTGTGAATGTGTATATGACCTTGTAGAATAAACCCTAAAGGTGGAATTACTGGGTCAGAGTGCCTGTCCTTTAGAATTTTGGCAGGTATTGCCGAATTGCTGTCAGAAACATTTATCCTCCCAGAGCTGGGATGTGAAGGAGACCTTGCCTGGCACCAATGAGGCTCTAGGTACTGGGGAAAAAAAAAGCTTATTGTCCCCATTTACACTCATCTCTCAGCAAGGAGAGTGCCATTTTCATGGGCTGTGACATTCAACATTTCCTCAAGCTTTAGGTCTTGACCTAATTTGATATGTAAAAGGATATTTGATGGTACTGTTTTTTTTTTAAAGGACTTTTAGAGAAGTTTATTTAGCTGTTAACTTATCATTAACATCTAGTATTTATAGCTTTGTTATATTTAGGAAGAAAAAGTAACTTAAACATATGAAAACATACTTTAAATGAAACACGGTTTTAATAGGAAGTGACTGTATAAGTTTAGTGATTTATTGCATTGTTAGAAAACGCACGTGTGAGGCCCTGGGTTCGATACTCACAATCACATAAAAATAATAAATAAATTAAAGGAATTGTGTCCAACTACAACTAAAAAATAAATATTAAAAAAAAAAAAGAGATGTAGGGCTGGCGTTTTGGCTCAGTGTAGAGCACTTGCCTAGCATGTGTGAGGCACTGGGTTGGATCCTCAGCACCACATAAAAATAAATAAAGGTATTGTGTCCATCTGCAACTAAAAATTTAAAAACCAAGAAGAAAGATGGAACTGGGCTTGTTAGCACATCCCTGTAATCCCAGCAATTCAGGAGGCTGAGGCAGGAGGATCTCGAGTTTCAAAGCCAGCCTCAGCAAAAGTGAGGCACTAAGTAACTCAGTAAAAATACAAAATAGGGCTGAGGATGTGGCTTAGTGGTTGAGTACCCCAGAGTTCAATTCCCAGTACCAAAAACAAAACAAAAAAAGGAAAGAAAGAAAAATGGAAAAAATCAACAGTGTTATTTTTATTTTACAATCAATAAGCCATAGTTTACATTGTAGCTTTAAATTTTCTTTCCAACAGGTTTCAAAAAAACCTGTATTTAATAAAATATTTAAATACTTTTTAAAAAAATTCTATGATCTATTTATATTTTTAATCAAAATGGGAGTTCATAATCCGCTTGAATCAAATGTATGAAATATGATATGTCAAGAGCTTTGTAATGTTTTGAACAACTAATAAGAAAAAAAAGATATTTATTTGGTATAATTTGAACTTCATGTAATGGACTCATTATATAATCTTTGGTTTGTGTTTTTTATTCAGTATTATATTCCTGACATTCTTTATTTAATTTCATTGTTCTAGAGTTTTCTGTTTTATAAATATAATATATATATATTTTTTACTTTTGGTTGGTGTTATTTTCTGATTATTACCAATTAATGCCAGGCTATTTTCTAGTAGTTGTATAATTTCCATTTTTAAAAGCAGTGTATAGCAGTTTTTAATTGATCCATTTTCTCAATAATCGATACTCTTATCTTTACCATTGTTTTAGTTTTGAAATAATATCTTGTGATTTTATTATGCATCTCCCTGTTTACTAATGAGGTGGGATATATTTATTGATCATTTAGGCTTCCTATTTTTTAACATTTTCTATTTAGGATTTTTGCTTGTTTTGTATTGGAGCATCCTTTTTACTGATTTGTAAGAGTTCTTTATAGAGTTCTGTTGGTTTTATGTATTGTGCATAAGAATCATTTATTAATGAATTATGTACCTGGGTTTTATAATTCTCTTTGAAGGATGATTTCATGCTACTGATTAAGATCTTTAATGGTTATAGTACTATTTAGATTTTTCTGTTAACATAGGAATTTTTCCATTTCATATATTTTTCAAATTATAAGATCCTATTATTATCTTTTATAATACATGTAGGCATGACCCCCTTCTCATTCCTAATGTTGCTTATTTGTTCCTTTTTGTTTCTTCATCATTCTTGCTAGAGGATGGTCAATCCCTAAGATTGACTATTCAAAGAATCATCTCTTAAATTTTTTTTTCTTTTGTCCCTGGCCTGTGTACCTCTACCCTTACCTTCCATTGTCCTTATACCTGTATGTACACATTTATGTTCACACATACATGCTACATATATTAGTTCATATGTAAAACAACTGTACATGTAAGGTACTGCATAACATTTAAAGATTATGTTTGGTAGAAGCAATCTGATCCTTCCTTGGGAAACAAAATGAGAGCTATCCAGGCTGTTAGTGGTAGAGACAATTCTTTTATTTTCTCTCACTTTGTCCTCTTTTTTTCCTCCTCTGCTTTAAGTTGATTCTGTTTGTATATTTTTCTAGTTTCTCAAGTCATTTGCTAAATGCAGCCTTTTCTAGTTTGTAAACTTTCCTTCACTGTATCCTACAAATGTATGTTTTATTTATCTAACATTTTATTTCTAGAGTGACCTTTTTTTTCTTTACCCCATTAGCTATTTAGACATGTGTTTATTAATTTTTATTCTAGCTTGGTTCCTTAATCTGACTCATTTGTTCCCTAATATCCTCAATATAAGAGAATGATGTCAGTTTTACCTGATTTTTTTGATATCTGCTTTAAAATGCTCTTTTCTTTTGTACATAGAAAAGAACTTTTGTTATTACATATGTAGGACAAATGATTATGATGAATTATAGAAGTTGTACCTTACAGCTTTTTATAAACAAATGTAACAGACTTATTTAAAGGATTATATTATTAAAATTAAAATGTCCTCTATCATCAGTTCTATGACACACCTGTCTTACATTTTACTCTTTTTGAAGTTGGTGTATATCTTATAATTGCTGGCATTTTAACATTGCTGTAGTTGAATGCAGTCTTCGGGTGGTTATATGTAAACATTGGTTGACACAGTCTGATAAGATAAAGAATGAATCTTAGTGTACTGTGGTTAAAAAATCAACAGGTTTCAATGAGAAACAGTTAAAAACCTGGCCATTTTTGTAGGTCATTTTCTTCTACTTTTTTAGTATATTTTCTTTTGGTAGGTATTAACAGCATCAATCTCTGAAACATAAATAAGCCTCTGGGAACTATTAAGTTGAGCCAAA